CGCCCGCCACCCCGGTGACCTTCACGGCCGGGCGGCGGCCGCAGGCCCAGGGGCGGCGGCGCGATGTTCGTGCAGGAGGAGAAGATCTTCGCGGGCGAGGTGCTGCGGCTGCACATCTGCGCCACCGACGGCACCGAGTGGCTGGAGGAGGCGACCGAGGACACCTCGGTGGAGAAGCTCAAGGAGCGCTGTCTCAAGCACGTAAGGCCCGCGACCCCCAGCCTTGCCCACTTCGTCCTCGCCATCCGGCCCCGCAGTCCCGGTCCTTGTCCACTTCGTACCCACCATCCGGCCCCGCAGTCCCAGTCCTTGTCCACTTCGTCCCCACTATCCGGCCCCGCAGTCCCAGTCCTTGTCCACTTCGTCCCCACTATCCGGCCCCGCAGTCCCAGTCCTTGGCCACTTAGTCCTCACCATGCAGCCCCTGCGACCCTGGACCTTGTCCACTTCGTCCCCGCCATCCAGCCCCGGAGTCCCAGTTCTTGTCCACTTGGTACCCACCATGCAGCCCCTGCGACCCTGGATCTCGGCCACTTCGTCCCCACCATCTGTCCTCGCAGTCCCAGTCCTTGTCCATTTCGTCCCCACCATCCAGCCCCGCAGTCCCAGTCCTTGGCCACTTGGCTCCCGCCTGGCCCCCTTTCCCCATGTTTGCAGCCCCACCCGCCTCGCTTCTCCCGCGCCCTCGGAAACCACACTGCGGAGACTCTTGCCCAAGCTGACCGGGCTGGGGAAGCTCTTCCCATGCAGCCAGTGAGGTGGGAGAACGCAGAGATGCTCCCCCTTGGGCTCCTCTGTTGCCTCCTCCAGCACTGGCAGGTCGGGGCTCTACTGGCCCTCCAGCTTACCAGTTTTGGGGGAGAGGATCATTTTGTGCCCTCCCGGTCCAGTCCCTACAGAGCCTGCTGCTTGGTGCTTGTCCCTGGCGTGGGCCACTCGCCACTTATGCTTGTGAGTTAGAGTCCCTTAAAATAGAGCCTTTGCAGCTCGGTCCTGGCTCTAGGGCTTTCCTGCACCTTAGATGGATTCGCCTGGGCCTGAGCCCAGCAGCGCCACTTTGAAAAGTTTATGCAACATCAGCTTGTAGTTGAAGTCTCAGCTTTAAACACGTTAGAACTGGTTATTGAGTGAAAGTGACTGTGGGGGGTATAGGAGCAGGTGGTGATCCTTTGTGTTGGCGTGGGGTCACTATGAGGTGGAATAACTCCATGGCACGTGACACCACCTCCTGAATCTTCAGTGCCCTGAGGCTAGCCGCCTGTCCCACTCTGGCCAGTGCCGGAGGAAACTCTATCCTTGGCAGCATGGAGAGGAGAGGAGGGGGTGCTCATCAGGATGGAGGTTAAGGTGCCCGGAGCTCTTTGATGGAGATGCTGTGAGGTGTGACTGGTTGCTGTCGTGGAAAGAAAATGCCGTTTATCCCAAGCTAGGTTTTTATTCTGGTAACTGAGTTTTTTACTGAAGTGAATTATACATGGCACATCTAGCAAGCCAGCATTTTCCAGGTCCACACTAGTGGTCTTGATGATGTTATCTGGGGTGCAGCATTCCACATGTCTGGGACAGGTCCTCTGTCACTCCCTGGTTCCTCAGTGCTTACACCTGAGTTCCTTGGAGTCACTTTCCTGAATAGACACTGTCGTTGTCAGAGGCAGGGGAGCATGCTGGTGTGACTGAGCTTCTCTGGAACATGCTGGGTCTAGATTCACCTTCCATGGCCGACCTGGAGGCTCCACGCTCAGGTGCATGTAGGCTTTGACCACCTGACAGTCTGTTTGCTTGCTTGCTGGCCCAGGCTGTGTGGTCTTGGCATCTGGAAAGCTGGTGTTACCATGCCAGCAGGCTGGGGTCTCCAGGCACTCTTGCTGGCAGAGCCAGGTGTTGCTGGCTGCCTGGAATTGTGCTTCCAGGATCACTGAAGGCGGCCTCAGGTAGATTTGCATCCCCACACCCAGAGCCAGGCTCACTGAGAGCCCAGGGTGAGTGGATACATGGCCAGCCTCTGCTGCATTGACCCGGGGTGGGCACCTGAAGCCCACGTGCAGAGGAGGGCAAGGGAAGAAGTCAGGGAAATTGGGTGGCATTTAGTCTAACTCACTAATGGCCCTGATTTACATAACCATCATAATATTGTTTTATGAAGGGGACCAGGAAATGAGGCTGTCAGGATGGTCCACAGGTGTGTGGTAATGAGTGCAAGAGACCGGGGTCAATTAGGCAGCTGACGCCATAGGGTTGCTGATTAGGGTGTTTCAGATATTTATCATTCCAGGCAGAATGGAGATGTGTCGTTTGGAATTGCTTCTGGAATGATCCTACTTTAAATCGAGGTTTTATTCCTCGCCACAGTCTCTCCAGGTGTGCGGGATCTGGCTGGCGGGAGTTTTCCTCACAGGGAGCTGAGCCCGCAGGACCAGCCGGTCCCCGGGCGCAGCCTCTCCTCCTGGCCCAGCAACACCTTAGATAAAGTGGGTGGGTAACTGTCACCACGGTGGTGAGGCTTGAGTGTGTGTGTATGCTTTGAGGCCCATGTCTGTGTATCTGCCATGGGCAGTCCTGGCCCCACCCAGTCTGTGTATCTGCCATGGGCCACGGGCAGCGCGGTCTTCTGGCGTCCCCGCTGCTGGAGCTGCTCTTACTTTTCTTCCCCCTCCCACCTTGAGGGGACATGGTGGAGGGAGAAGTCCACCCAGTTCTGGGTGTGTGTTAAAGGGATGTCTTCTTACAGCCCTTAAATGGGTTGCCACTGTTGCATACCACCCCTCTCACCTATTGGGGTCCTCCGGTGGCTCTGAGCTCCTTGCCCAGAGGGGCTGAGTGAGGCTTTTTGTGTCCAGCAGTTCCGAATTTTCAGAGACTTCACACTTAGGACATGGTGGAGCCGCTTTGTGAGTGGGGGTGGTGGGTGGTGAGAAATGGTCAGTCCATGACCATTTCCTCAGGCAGGTGGACGTGAGTGGCAGGTAAAAGCAGACTCCAGAGACGGCTCTTAGGATCCGGGAGGGAGCAGGGTTCTAACAGGATGGCAGAGCCTGCTCGCTGAGGACACTTCTGCTGAGAACGAGGACGCGTGGATGACGCCATGTGGACACAGACCTCTCCTGGAAATGCCGGCACCACGGTGCATGTTTCTTGCAGAGGCAGCATGAGGCTTGTTGGGAAAGTGCTTCCCTGTCTGCTTCAGAACTCGGCAGACGAGCTAGTGCATGTGTGTCTGAGTCCCCAGCGAGCAGAGCCACTGCTGGACTTGGGGGCCAGCCCAGTGGTGATGTGACTTGTCGAGAGCTGACCTTACCTGGTGTCCTTTGCTTGAGCGCATCTCTGCTCCAGAGCCTTCTTGGTCCTTGTCCTGGTCTCAGCCTTAGGTTGCAGGAAGCCCAGGCATTCCTAAGACCCCATGTTCAAGGGCAGGGATCCCCGTCTGTCTTATTAGAGCACAGTGGGTGTGTGATGGTGATGGCGGAGGTGGGGGGTTGCTCCCAGGGGGTCTGTGTCCATTCCTGAGATGGAGCCCTGCTCTGCTAGGGATCTGCACCAGGTCCAAGGTGTTTCTGCAGCTCCCTGGGTCTGGGGGTTTCTCCTGGCCATCAGGTCATTTCTCAGGTGCGACCAGGACGCTCCCTAGAGGCAGGGTGGTGAAACGTCATCTCACTTGCTTTGGGCGTGTTAGGAGAGGTCAGCCCTTGGACACAGACGCCATGCTGGCAAAGGTAGGAGAGAAGAAGGCCCTCAGTGAGATGGACTCACGGTGACCAGCCGTGGGCCAGAGCGTGGCAGAGACAGTGACGGTGGGCACTGGGCAGGGTTCCCGGGTGGGTTTCACAGGCTTGGCATTGGCGGCAGCCGAGAGCAGCCCCAGGCAGCGGCCAGCTCCCGTGCTCTGCCGAAGCTTGCACCATCACAGAACACGGATCCCAGGTGATGTTCAGCGTTCCCCACCCTCAGAAGCACCTGGTGCAGAAAGGCCACCACCAGAAGTGCTGGCCTGGCGCGTGGCCGAGGGGGTGTTTGGCAGCCTCATCCTGTCTCCTGGACGTCTTGCAGTGACTGGGCTCTGGGACTTGCTTCGCTCTGACTGCTGGGCCTCTCACCCCACGTCTCATCTGTCTGCCTGGGGAGACGGGGCAGCCGCTGGATTCTGACACACAGCCGTCAGGTGGTGTCTCGGCTGTGCGCGGCCCAGGGCCCAGCTCTGCGTGAGTGCTGACAGGACGGGAGTGCTCACTCCCAAGTGTGGATGTGTTTACAGTCTGTCTGTCTGTCTGAGTGCGAGACATCACGAAGTGCTTTAGAAAGCAGATTGAGAAGAGCAGGCAGGGGTTGAAGCAGAAGCCTGCTGACTGTCCGTCTACCCGTGGATGCTCTCAGCCGCCACGTGGTGCGTGTCCTCGGGCCTCAGCTCCTGATCGGAGAAAGTGCTGCTCTTCCTGCCAGGCTGGCCCGCCAGAGAGCCAGGCACCAGCTCCGGGCAGTGCTGTTGAGAGACCTGGTCACTGACAGGGAGGTAGGGTCACACAGCCTCAGTCGGGTACACATGGTGCTACTGGGGTCAGTGCTGGGCACCAGAGGGCTATCGGCCAGCCTGACACATGGCCCCTGAAGGCACTTTTCTAGAGTCCCAGTGACTGCTGCGTCCCCACTCTGGAGCTGCTGCGGCTGTTCTTGGTCACTGACCACCCCCCGTGCGTGGCCACTCCACGTGTGCACTGGACAGAGGGGACATGGGGGGAGGTGATGGATGGGCTGAGCCTGGTGACTGCGCCTGCACATGAAGGCATGGCAGGGTCCGGGGGTGGCCCCTGCACGCGGAGGTCTGTGTGGGGTGGTGGCCCCTGGGCATTCAGAACACTGTTTCCCAGTGGCACACAGCTGGCTGAGTGTAGTAATGTCAGCTTCTGAGATGACTGTCGGGACCTGGCTGAGCCCAGAACCCCTTGCTGGCCTGTGGGGAGCACTCTACGTGGGTTCTCTCATGCCACTTTAACAGAGACTCCACAAGGGGGTGGCTCTACTGACAGAGGAGGATACAGGGTCCTAGCTCGAGCGGAAGGCTCTTTGTCTTTCAGCCTTGGGGAAGGTCCTTGTCTCCTCTGAGCTGCTGCTGGGGCGTCTTTGTGCAGCGGCCTCTTCTTTCTGCCGTCATCCGCACCAACCTCGCCTCCTGAGTGTGAAACAGACAGCACGTTTCCAGAGGATGAACC